CAGAAGATTTCTGACCTATTCCTAATTGCATGAACACAGTACTGTAGGAAAACATTATCATTGCTTCAACAGTCAGCTCACCAAGCATGTGGATGAGTCAACCCTCAAAAACGGCATGTGCTGTGAGCTCAGTGCAGAAGGTAAGGAGTATCAAAACACTAATTAATGTTCGGAGAACATGTCCTCTGAGTAGCAAAGCCTGTATGCTAGCAACACAAATCAGTTATCACCAAGGTTAGAAAAATGTAAGTTAAAGAAAAAAATAAATCCCACTTCTCCCACCCCAAGGCATGTTGATAAACCCAAAGAATGACCTAATTTTAATATTTCTGTTCAGCTACAAAGCAAACCACCTTGGAGATGTCCTTGACGTTTCATATGCATTATAGTAGGTAATCCTCAGAAAAGCAAAATCCCTACAAAGTCTAAGAGAAGATAATAAAATGTATGTTAAATACTTATAATCCTTACTATTTTCCCTCTGTAATGATTTAAGTTTGCTTTCCCCATGAAATATGGGTACTTGGATTCTCATAACCTATTTTGTCTTTTATAACATGCGATAACTGTTGTTAATGGAGTCGGTTCATCAGTTAACTCTTCTTTCTCAGGTCTCTCATTTTGGGAGGAGAAAAGCCAATTAATCTCTCAGCTGGCTGAACAAAGATGAGACAGAGAAGCCAGAAAGTGCATTCTGGCTGTACTGCATCCGACTGTCATGCTGCATTCTACCACGTGCACTATTCCATCCGCAAATGACAGGTGCCATAGGTACCCCCATCACACAGGACAGTGAAGGTATCATTCTTATCTTCTTGAATTTATTGTAAATTATGGAATTACACTGCCACAAAAAGCAGAGACAGTCTCTGAATGAGGGGTACTGGGACATTGTTCAGGAATCTCAGTAGGGAACTGTGAATTATAAAAACACATCCCTCAAAGCCCTCCCCAACTTCCACCTTTCCCATGAAGACATTCCCCTTGACCTGGTCAGGATGGCCTCTGACCACCACAGCACTGACTGAGGGCTGCACCTTTCCCTGGACCATCGAGGTCACATCCCTGGGTTGTTTGATCTTCAACTCCCCATCTGACTGTAAATTTCCCAGGGGCAGTCAGTGCCTATGTCTGGAATTTTTCTGAATTCAAATTGTACCTGGCATTGCATATTATGTTATAAATATTTATTTACAGACTAAATTTAACTACTATTTCTCTATTATTTTACTTTTATTTTTTTGTGGTTGTACCATACAGGGTTTGAACCCTAGACCTTGTTGTATTTAGCGCCACATTCTAACCAACTGAGCTAACGAGCCAGCCCTACTTTGTTTAAAATGAGATGTGTTACTTTTATAAATGCAGACCAATTTCTTATATAAATTCACTTATCACCAAATCTATTTTATAAACACGATTTCTGATGTTCAGTATTTCAACTTCTTTTTAAAAGACACAGTCATAGAAGTTCTAATCAATATTATATGGTTATGTCATTCACAATAAAAAGCAGGAAAAAGATTAATCAATTGCAGATTTAATAAACCTAGCTAAAACTAAATTCTTGTATGTACTGCAGATAGGCAGAGAAACGAACAGCTTTCCCAGGGACTGATTTTCAAAATAAGACTTCTGATACAGATCAATGTTCTACCCACAGCTGTAATGAGGAGTGAATAAAAACTATGTAGACAGCAGCTTTGTTCTGTGTCTGTTGAAATATGACACCAGATCCCTGACCTTCCCAGTCAAGATGCTCAGGGTCTTGAGGGAACGTAGAACACATAAAGAACAGCCCTCTGTGGCTCATGCAGCTACACGTTTCTTTGACCCTTCTCTCTCTCTCTCCTTGGTCTATTTTACCAGCTAAACGACCAGGTAGAGAGTACTACTGAGAGGTGTGCATAGTCATGCCCACCATTAATTAGTGTTGGCCAATCATACAGGGTGATCTGTTCTGCAGTATTTGCTTCCGAATGATCATCTGCCCCATAGAATGGAAGAAGGAACGACAAGTAGCCTGGGGGATATTCATTTTAAGTCACGTATGGAATACATATAAACCCCAGCAAACATAACATTACCCTGTAATAACTAAAAACAAAAATAGAGTACCTTTTTGTCCCCCCAAAATGCTGTGGTTTCTATTACACACTGTTGGGATGCTTTCCATTCATGCACAAATCCCTCTCTGGAGCCTGCTTTTTACAATGGTAGGTCATCGTTGGCAACACCGCTGAGAGCCTAATGAAAATGTGAGAGCATCTGTCACGTTCCCATTTCAAGGCAAAGCTCTGCTGCATCCACTTGAATCTAAACTGCTGCAAAATGGATTTTAAACAATACAGGATGACGGTGTCGTGACATCATGGTGCATTTCAAAGGCACCTTTCCACAGTGAAAGAATTCTATTTTAGTAACAGTACAATACATATGATATTGTAATCAACAGATACAGGGTCTTCTATTGGCACTATACAGAGGCTATGCCCTGCTTACAGGCATAATTCCATTTTTTAAAATGTGCCCATGAGGAGCAGTGCATTAAGATCTGCACACCAATGTGTCTGTTCAGTTACCATCTCTCTGAACATTTACCATGGATCTTTTTTTTCTCTCTACTACAGCAGTACAAATAAAAAGTTGTAAGTATCTGAGTAGCACAATGTCAGGGACGTTTTCCTTGGGAAGTGGAGAGCCAGGCGCAGCGGAGCCTGTGTGTTTTCCAGTGACACAGACAACTGGCAGCTGCCAAGCACATTTTCTCCTCGTTGTACCCTGGAAATCTCAGGCCACTATACACATGGCTGATAGATTTTTATTCCACTCAAGTACTTGCCCAGCTGGAAAGTCTTATCTTTTCATTTATAAGTTAAAAGAATACATATTAAGTGGTAACTAGCTATCATCTATGAAGAACATTACTACTATCAGAATAGGAAAAAACAGCCATCTGAAAGGAGAGACAACCCCAATCATCCCCACTGAGAACAGCGACATCCCTGTAAGAAGCTGTCTCCCTGGAAGCTGCCATTGTCAAAAATGCCCCTCCCTCCCTGAACTCCAAAGGCAATTGTACACTTGGGCACTAACTGTGCAAAGGTGGAAAATTGAGGAGAAGAATGTCTTTTTTTTTTTTTTTTACACAGAGCTGAGGCGGCTATGTAGTAGAGATAAGGAGAAGATCAGAGTCTCTCTCTGGCAACTCTGCTTAATTCTAGGGCAGCTGAGACTGTGCTCCTAGGGGCAGAAGAGGGAACACCTTCTGGGTGCTGCCTGGTGTCCTTGGCATTACTGAGAGGGGAGGCACACCTGTCCTTACTGGGGATGCCCAGGTGAGGACTAGAATTAGGCACTGAGAAGGCCAAATATAACAGCTAATAGGGACAAACTTTGTACACATGGAGAAATGGGGAAATAGCAAAGAATGACAACCTAAAAGAGAACACATTTCAACAGTCTAATATAGAACTAGGGTGAATTAATGAACTATGTAAACACCAGAAGAGGCTGTAGGCTCTACAGGTATCTCTCTAGGCAATGGCTCACCTAAAAAATGAAACTATCAAGAAGCCAAATAGATATGGAAAACTGTTATATTTCTAATACTGATTGAAAAAATATCTTATATTCTATGAGTCTCTTAATATGCATTATCTCCTAATAATCCTATAGGAATTCTGAAAAATAGATACTATATTTTATAGTTAAAAACGCTGTGGGACAAAGGTTAAATTACTTGTCCAATGTCACCCAAAGAGTAGATGGCAGATTTCAGGCCTGTCTGATGGGCTTCTTGACAAGAATCCTGTGCATCAACTGAGAACATTCTGATTTTAAATTCCATTTACACAGATGAGAGGATTCAACAAATTTTTCTTAAAGGGCCAAATACTAAATAATTCAGGCATTGTGGGCCATACAGTCTCTGTTGCAACCACTCTAAAAAGGCTAAAGCAGCCATAGACAATATGTAAACAGATGGGCCTGGTGGTTCTCCAATAAAACAGGAGGCCAGTTTGCTGACTCCTGATATAGAACAGGGATTGGGAAATTGCAGCCCTGCGCCAAATCCAGCCCATCACCTATTTTTGTAAACAATGCTTTATTTATGATCTAGATGTAGCCCATCATCCAGACTATTTCTGGATAGTTGAAAGGTAATTTGCCAAACTATTAATAACACCCTAGTTTCACAGAAGCATTCTTGGGAGCGTCCAGTGCTCTTTGTTCTAATCTTCCTTCCAAACAACGTTCCAATTCCTAATCTGTGGCCTGTGTGGTCCAGCCCTCTAGGTGGGAGAGACTTGATAAACACCTGGAGCCCTATTGGTGACCTCTTATTGCAAAGAGACATTCTTCATCATCATCATCATCAATCAACCAGTGATTCAGTTTCTGGAAGACTCAGTACCCTTGGGAAGCTGAAAAAACAAAGAAGGAGATTCTTAACCTGAAAAGATGGTGACCAGAAACTGAGCTTGTGGTGACATGACAATGAATTAGTTCATTCATTCATTCAAATATTTGAGTGCCTACTGTGTGCCAGGCAGAAATATATATGAACTTAAGACTGAAAAGCCTGACTCACAGCACTTGAGTAAATACTTTACATACAGTAAATATGTTATTTATGACACCAAAAGACCTGAGCTAGAACACAACCCATTTTCAAGCTAGCAGACTGACAAAGGCAAATAGCGCTGCTTTGATAGCTACTTTACAAGAGCCCCAAGACAAAGAACTCTGGCTCCCAGTCAAGATTAGAGGCCACAGGAGCAGAACCTGTAAGCTGCAGGAGGGCAGGGACTGTGCCTGCTCACTGCTGAGTCCTGAGCGCCTGGCTCAATGCCCAGAAACAGCAGGGGTTCCAAAAACATTTGTCGTTTGCATCACCATAAATTACCTCTGTGGCTTCTGACAAGCTGGAGTGTGAATGGCCCAGCTGGAAAGTCAGATTTCCTAACACTCAAATTAAGGAGATGAATTCTCCATACCTGGATCGTCTGGTAATCAGAAGCATCGATTCCTTTTACAGTCACCTCTCGGAAAACTCTTGGCTCCAGTTCCTCTTTGGTAAGATCACAGTGATAAATGATGCCTAAAAAGGAGAGGAGGTCTTAGTTCAGCCCACAAGACTCACCAGATGCAAGCGGGGCAAGGACCACAAAGTACCACCAGATGCCAAGAACAGCAAGGGAGGTGGAGCACATGCCAGGGATCTGGTAAATCCACCACAGGAGAAGGGTCACTGTGAGAAGAGGGCCATGTAGCTGTTCACCTCCATCACCCCATCGCATGTGATGGGGGGGTCCTTCTCACAACACTTGTGTGTGTATACACTTTAGAAGATTCTAACGCATTCTGTGAGTATGAGAAAAGGCAAAAAACCTAATTGTGGAAACTTAACAGGCCTTCCCCAAGCAGGGTGCTTAGGAGTGCAGGTAAAAGAAAATCGTAAACTTCATCTAGGGCTATTTTACCTGAAAGGCAACTGACAGAAAAAACTCAAGTGACTTGTCCAAGGTCAACAGTCAGTCAGGGGCCTCTCGATGGGCACTCTGGGCCTCCTGCTACCTGACACCTACCCATCCATGGACACTGTGTGGACAGCAATCAGGGACCAAAGGTGATTGCCAGTCATTTCAGAATTGCTTTTTCAATTTTGGTTATCCTAGTAATAGTGCACAACACAAAATGATTAATATACACCAAGAATTCCAGTTTATTTAACTACTTATTAAAATTCCATTTCCTAAATTTAATGCTACTACTCTTAATGCTACTACTCTCTAACACTTAAGGACTAAATTAAAGAAACAATAAGACGAGTCATAATGTTTGAAAACAATGACACTGCTGCAGTTTAGGAAACTGAATTACTCATTCACGGAGTGGCTGGTGTGGGAACAGCACTTCCCCACATCATACGTGAAACATGCTGTCAGATGTATGAAAAATCGATTTGGTGATCCCGGTACTCAAAGAACCAAAAACCAAAAGGTATTCCCACAAGGCACATTTAAATTGATTGATCAAGTGTTAAAATGGCAGCTCTTTCTTTCTATATTAACTCCTCTGTGTATGTACTTCACTAATGGCTGAGAAACAATACTCTGCCCCCCCACCTCCCCGGCAAGGAGTAATACATTTCGATTCATTAAAACCACGACTGCTAATCTTTATGAATGTTATTTCAATTCTCTGGCTTACAGACACTTTAAGGTTACTATAATTGGGTGTATGATTAACATTTACAGTAAGAAGATGTACAACATGACAGAAATACAGGTTGAGCATCCCTAATCTGAAAAATCTGAAACACTCCAAAATCTGAAATTTTTTGAGCACCGACATGGCACTCAAAGGAAATGCTCACTGGAGCATTTCAAATTTAGGATTTTTGGATTAGAGATGTTCAGCCAGTTAAGTATGTGCAAATATCCCAAAATCTAAGAAAATCTGAAATACTTCTAGGCACCAAGCATTTCAGATAAGGGATACTCAACCTGTACTGGTTTTCTTGGTTTAAGTTATACTTCGATATTCGTTAGAATATATCTTTAGGGCCGGCCCGGTGGCGCACTCGGTAGAGTGCAGCGCTTGGGAGTGTGGCGGCGCTCCCACCGAGGGTTCGGATCCCATATAGAGACCAGTCAGCTCACTGGTTGAGCGTGGTGCAGGCGCGACACCGAGGGTTGTGATCCCGTTGCCGGTCGCGGTACGGGCGCGACACCAAGGGTTGCGATCCCATTACCGGTCACGAAAAAAGACAAAAAAGGGAAAAAAAAAAAAAGAATATATCTTTATATATAATGTACTTCCAAACTATACTCTGTGAGCATGCATTCCAATTTACCAGATACAATGAATATTATACTTGCCTATATGAATGTAATCTTGATGACAAAAGGTTATCTTCAGATATATTTTAATTTTCAAGAGCTTCTTGATCAGTACCTGATGCCTCCCACAAACACAGAAAGCATCTGAATCCTTGAGAAAAGACTCCAAACGATCAAAAAGAAAGCACGCAGACCAAGCATATGCCATTTGAATACCTGATTCACCATGGGTCACCGCAACCTGTAGTACAGTAAATGATGAAGGTCTTGGGAGCCAGAATTCCCAGCTCTGGCAGTTACTAGCTTAGTGACCTTAGAAAAGTCACCAAAGTACCAGAAATGCAAATTCCCTAGTGAAAGACAATGAGTACGAGATACACTCTCAATGCTTGTTTATCTAGAAAGGTTGGGACATCAAATCTAACAGAAGAATGAAATAAGAGTGTCAAATGCCTAAACTCTAGTCTTCTGTTCTGTGCACTAGAAGTGGTACCTTAAAGGAGGCTGTGTTAAACCTGAAGGTACCAGTGCTTAATATATCTTACCAATACTTTCTATTTATAGATACATCTGGGTTGGCCCAGGTTAACCCTGGCACGTTCACACCATAGTGTAAATCCCTATGATCTAATGACAATTAGTATCCCATCTAATTTGGCTCATGTGGAGTAAGAACAAGGAAGGTGGGATTTGAACAAAACAGCCTAGAATCATGCACCAGAGAAAAGTGATTAGGTAATTGTTAGGAAATAAATTTCAAAGTTTGAGGGCAAAAGAGAGAACTGGATTACAGAAGTCCCTTAAGGCCAGAGGAGGTGTCTGGACTTGAGAAAATGTCTCCTGATGAAAACAGTGCCTTAGCAAGGCCGTCCTAGCAACAGGAAGGAGGCAGGGAGATCGGCTGGTATGTTGCTAGTGTAATGTGAAATACACGTAAGGAGGGAGAAGAAGTAGGAGTCAGGAGAAAGAGGCAACTACAGGAGAAGCTGCAAAAGGACCAGGGGGACCTGAAAAGTTGGATATGTAAGAGAAGGCAGAGGAACTTTGTTACCCATGTAGACATTGTTTTATCTGATTACAGGTTGGGCTTTAATGTCATTAAAAGAAAAAAACAAAAACATGTACCTTAAGAAATGTCTGCCTTTCCTAAACAGTCTGTGGAAAGCTTCCTTGTGTTCCCGTCCCGGCCTCCTGGAGCCATGCACAAGTGGACTGCTGCACTGGAGTGTTACAACATGCAAGTCTGTCTGGAGCTAATCTCAGGCAACTTCCAAGGTTCCCCAAGTACAGAATTAATCAGTTCAACCGCTAAGTGGTTTGAGCCACAGGGAATGAGTACATCGTGCTCCAAATTACTCTGGTTGCCTGTTTTCTCCCAAGTGTGACTCAAGGTGCAAAAGTCGTAAATGTCTTGGGATCAACAGCTGTTTTCACTATGTACCTCCATGGGAAGCAAAGTCAGCTGATGTGCACCTGTCAAATGTACAACATGTCCATAGCAGGAAGCTGAGCTGTGATCAGCCAGGCTTTACTTAGGATTTAGTGTCTCAGCTGTACTAAACAGCTCACCTTCAGAGACCACTGCAAGACAGCCTTTGAGCTGATGTGTATGTGTATAATGTGTATATGCATGGCCTTGGTGTTAGCACCGTACTCTCCCAAGTGAGCCACGGGCCGGCCCTAGGGCTGCTTTATTTTCTAATGACCAAATGATTGCAACAAAACCAGGTGGGACCAAAAGCACTCTGCAGGAGCTCGGCCAATGAAAAAAAAAGTGCAGACATTTTTTCAGCCAGACTGCTTTTAAGACAGGGTTTGCCTGATCAACTGCAAACTGCCATTTGAGGCAGACTCCTGGGGCAAACCACAGTATGTAGCCAATGAAAAAAAAAGTGCAGACATTTTTTCAGCCAGACTGCTTTTAAGACAGCGTTTGCCTGATCAACTGCAAACTGCCATTTGAGGCAGACTCCTGGGGCAAACCACAGTATGTGCATGGCCACAACTCTACAGGAACACTGCAGCCAGATGGAGAAGCAGAGAAAAACCAAAAGCAAGAAGGAAAATCACAACCTAGCCCCTTTTCTTTTCTACTAGAACCAAGTAACAAACTTTTTTTTTCATGACATAGGACTATACTTTTAGGATTATATTTTCATTCAGTTTAACCACTGCATAATTTATACTAGAAAACATTTTTTTAAATGTCATATGTGGCTACAAATTTTACTTAATGTTTTTTGTCTGCACTGTGTTTTCTTGTGCATATAGACCAAAGGCTGATTCGAAAGTTATATTTGTTGGTATTAATTTTTTGATCAATCTAGAGCAAGAGTTATTCCTGCCCCCAGAAGAACAGAGACTCAGAATACAAGATTAAGGAGAGTACAGTTTTAGGCATTTATATCCCTTTGTTCTGAGTGTCTGTTTTACTGTTTTATTCCCATTAAGTAATTTTGGCTGTTGTACAGCATATGTGATTTTCAATAACAGTATACTCCCATTTCCTGAAAGAAACCCGAATATCAGTCTGATTTTTAAAGTGAACAGCAACAGCGAAAAAACTCACCTGGAGATAAAAAGGAAGTAAACTGATAGAAGATTTCGAAGTCCTTCTTCTGACCGCTGTACCCCACGATGCTGCCAACCTCGAGCGGGAAGGTCTTGAGGAGAGAACCAGTAGTCAGGTCATGGAGCTGCAGAACATTCTTCACATCATGGAGGTAGCATAAGACCAAAAAGTTGGACCTGACACAAGCAACCCATTCTGAAAAGAGAAGGAGGAGAGAGAAAACCTAATGCAGTTTTGGAAATTAGCACAAAACATATTTATTTAATTGAATAATAGTTCTAGAGCCATATATTGTGCTATGCAGCAACGAGACTTGCAAAATCATTTTATAATTGTTTTTAATCATTTCTCTAGTTTTCAGTATATTCCTTTAATAAATGATTGTCACTGTTATGTCCAGAGGAAACAAAATATTCTCCACCTCGGGCCAGGAGCTTTTGAGATGATCTAGACAATGTGTGGAATACCAGTAACCCTGCCTACCTATTTTGTGTCCAAGGTTATGCTGCAGGAAATATAAGGAAGCAAACAACAAAAACCAAATCATGACCCATGTCTGACAGGGTTGGTTATGTGACAAAAATATATTAAACCCTTAGTGTACACCAGATACCCTGCAATGTGCTAGAGAGAAATGGGAAGAGGAGGTCATCTTTGCCTTTCAGACACAATCACATAAAAATATGAAGCAGTAAAATGTACAAACAAAGGTAAGTGATTAGTTGGTTGAAGACCTCCAGAAAGTGACAGCCTTTAAGCAAGAGTTAAATTTCATCTTGAGGGCAGGAGTGTGGAGATAGGGGGCAGCACTGAGGGTTATCAGAGAAAGGACAGCTTTCCAGAGGATGAAGTGGTGGGAATACAGGTAACTCAAGGAATGCAGGCCAGAGCTAGGAATGAGGAGAGATGAAAGGAATATGAATGAATGAACGAACAAATGAACAGAAGGAAGGATGGGAGGGAGGAAGACTGGTAAAGAGAACAAGTGAGAGATCCATTTTCAATAATAAGAGGAAAGTTGTTCAGCATCGGGGGCAGGTGGTGATGCTGGTGGGGGTCTGATGGGCATTCAGTGAGCCACGTAGAGGGAGTTCAGTTATCTGTTACTGAGGAGCCACTGTTTGAACAGAAGGCAACACTAATGAAGGTAACATTAACAAAGGATGTAAGTATTTGACAGCCAAACACAGACTAGAAGTCTACAGAAGGATGGAGGGGAGTCTACTGCAATGCACCAGGAGAACACCAAATCAAGCTGGGGATAAAGTCTGGCCAGGAAAGAAGAGAAATAAAAAGAATTTCCTGAGAAAAGACTGCAGGGACACAGAGAGCAAGGTAGAGAAACCAGTTCTCCTCAAGTCCCAGGGTTGCAACTCACAATAGCAGTGCTCAATAAAAGAGCTAGGGATTAGGGTGGGAGAAGCGATGGGGAAAGGAGAAAATGGAAGGGCAGAAACAGAAGCCAGCCTGAGGCAGGACAGGTCACCCAGAAGGAGAGATGCTGTGGCAAGCGGAAGTAAGGACAGGGCTGCCGGCAACAGTTCAAACACGTTGAAAAGACAAGAACCAAATCCTATTCCACCATCACGGGTTTCATGATCCCAGCATCACAGGGGTGTTGCAGGTGGGGTTCTTGACACTGCTTATTTTTATAACCAAGAAACTAGTAATTCACGCTTAGGTTATCATTTATCCACAGGAACAACAAGACAAAGGCCAGAGGGAACTCTGAGGATACCGAGGGGCCTCAATCTTGGGCTGTTTAGATCACCCCAGCAACCTTTTCCTCAAGTGAGAATTAAAGATCTCTTACATCCAAAAGTCATTTGCTTATACTCTACTATGTTTTTTTAAAGTACCTCAATCAGTATATTTCACATGGCTTAATATTTTAAAGAGAGAAAAGTATAAGAAAAAATTGAAGTAAATTATAGCTGTCAAAGGATAATCAATCTGTGTTAAGTATGAGTACATCAGAATTATAGAACAGACAAAGTGAATAAGAAAAGAACAAGGTGATTTGTAGATTGTCATTAATAAAAGCTCTGACTTAATGGCTGTACTTTATGACTCATCTCTAGTTCTTATTCTCAACAGGGCATTCTGTGCTAATGACACAGAGCAAATTCAACTGTGCTTCTCTTTGAATTGATGAGTTCTAGTGAATACTGAAGGTTTCTCCTTCCCAGTCTAAAGAACTTATAACCTTTCAGAAGGAAGGTTACAAAAATATATCATTCCTCTCCCCTCAAACCTCTAAGCATTAATTTGCATTTCATTAGATCTACAAGCAAGACAGGATGTCACTTAAAGATACAGTTAAAACCCCTTTTTTGGCTTTAAATGGCAGAAAACTCAGATGCCTTGGGTAATATTTACAACGTTCATGATGGCTCCCTATATAAGAATCACTGTTCCAATCTGACTTGCACCTGAAAAACACTTGGGGTACCCCACATGAAGACTCATGCCATCAAAGTCTCCTTTAGACACACCAACGCAGGAGACCAAGGCACATGGAACGGGTGCTGAATCTGGCCCTCAGGAAGCACTAACTGCTGGCTGTAACCACCCTCACAGGGGACATTCCTGCTTCAGTGTGAATAGAAGCCATCAGGCTATCAAAGTGACTAAGAAACAGATTCCTTGCACACAGATATTAAAGGAAATGGCCAAAAACCTGTTCCATGACTCCTGGATCCCTCGTTCAAATATAAATCAGGGTCAGAGACTGAAGAGGTTTTGAGAAGACAGGTGACAAGACTTCCTTGGCAAGAGCCCTTGCCATGCTGTAAGTTACCCTTCCCACTGGGGAGAGGGTTATTACCTTCTACTAACCCCAGCCTGAGAGAGATAAAGAGACAGCGCCTGATCCAAACCTGAGAAATTAAAGGGACTATGACTGGAAATCTAGAAGGCAAGAAAAGGGAGGACTCACTACTTTGGAGGAAGAGTCTGGGATGGACTGCTGCCTCGAGGCTGCAGATGTGGATTTTGCAGGAAAGAGCAGGCATGGGGTTATTTTAGGTACTGTCCAACAGAACTGCCTAGAGAAGTGCCAGATCTCAGGACAAGAGGGTGGAAGGGTGCAGTTAGATGCCCAGGGCAGAGGAAAATCTCAAGCAAACACCCAGAGCAGTGCTTCCTCCAGAGCTAAGAGAGCTACAGAATGAAGGGCCCAGCAGAAAGTGCCCCTGAGAGTCAGCTGTAATCATCTGCCATGACCCCCCCCCCCAAGAAATGCTAGG